AAAATAAAATAGATAGAAAACAATTTTGTTTCATCACTGGTGGAAAATGACACAATAGCTAGTCTTTGCTATTGCTAATTCCCAGCAACCCAGTGAACTCCAGCTATCTGCAATCCTAAACTCCTTTTAACCATTCCAAGCTGTAAGGAGTATAATTTTGCCTTTGTAGATTTACCCAACAAGCTAACAAATGCCACATGTTCTGCTGGCCATTGCTAGCAGCATGATAGGACAATATTCCAACTCCTGGGAGCAAATCCTTGTCCTGTTTTCAAGAAGTTCAGGAGTGAGTTGTTAGGGACATTTTGTGTTTTTCTCTTTGGATACCGTAATTTGATTCTGCAGTACCTCAGATTTGCAAAACAGATCTCAGGTCTCTGTGTAACAGAAGAATGTTTGACAGTGGTGGGATTCAAAAAAATTTACTACAGGTTCTGTGGGCGTGGCTTGGTGGGCGTGGCATGGCGTGGCTTGGCGGGCGTGGTAGGCATAGGATACTGTAAAATCTCCATTCCCACCCTACTCCAGGAGAAGGTTACTGCAAAATCCCCATTTTCTCCCGATCAGCTGGGACTCGGGAAGCAGAGATTAGACAGGGGCGGGGCCAGTCAGAGGTGGTATTTACCAGTTCTCCGAACTACTCAATTTTTCCGCTTCTGGTTCTCCAGAACTGGTCAGAACCTGCTGAATACCACCTCTGGTTTGGAAGTTTAACTAGTCAGCAACATGAACTCTTTTGACTGGCCAGATTGGGAGAATTAAGTGCATGGAGGTTTTTCCCCCTCTTCTTGCCTTTTGCTTATCAATTACTGCCTAAAACTGACACCCTGGCTCAAGATCAGACCAAGGCAATTTTTTTTGCCATTACTGTTGATAAGAGGAAATATTTTCAGCGATTAGAAACAGCATTTGGGAACAAATAGCTTGAACCTGGTCATGACAACTACAGTTGTTTAATTTTTTTAAAGATTTGTTGAAAGATTTTAAAAAAGGGATAAAATTATTAATGTAACAAAAAACAATTGCATATCATTGAAAGAGAAAAAAAATTAACTAATAAAATTGTACAATATGTATCTAGTAAACATGCTTTTGTATAATCGTATTACACTGGGTGTTAAGAAAGGTTTGACATACTTTTTCTTTTCATGCAACAGGCATTGTAAACTTCCTTATTCCTACATAGTGGTGGGATTCAAAAATTTTTACTACCGGTTCTGTGGGCGTGGCTTGATGGGCATGGCTTGGTGGGCATGGCAGGGGAAGGATACTGTAAAATCTCCATTGCATCCCCATTCCAGGGGAAGGTTACTGCAAAATCCCCATTTCGTTCTCATCAGCTGGGATTCAGGAGGCAGAGAATAGATGGGGATGGGGCCAGTCAGAGGTGGTATTTACCGGTTCTCCGAACTAATCAAAATCTCCACTACCGGTTCTCCAGATCCCACCTCTGCTATACAGGCCTCCATGGAATAAGGAGAGATTGTATATTAAGTAATTAATGTCTAGCTGAAAAGAGCATTTCAACACAGACTTTTCTGATTATAATAAAATTCTGTCAGCAATAACAGAGTTAATAGTACAATTCCCCACTGTTCGGTGGAATCAATAAACTACATACAGTAACAAGATAGAATATGTTCCGACTTCAGAAGAAAAGGCTTATGCCTGCAGGGGACATACACTGGAGAAAGAAACATTATTTACAATAAAAATTTTGTTCGAGCTCAGAGACCAAGACTTAATCACCAATGTGAATCTACAAGGATTTACTTTAGCCTGCTAAGTGCTAGCTCAAACCTGCCATCAAATATGGCATGTTTTCAGAATGTCAGTAGCTGCTTGCTATCTTTTCACTTAAATAAAACAGTTTTGCTTGACATTATAATATGACACCAAAAGAATGCAGGAGATTTTGGTATTTGTATAGGTCAGTTGCTCTCCTTGCACAGAAGCAGGAGCAATCTTAAACAAATATTATTTCATAAAATACCAAAGGCTATTCATGTCATATTCAAAGCAACTGATGCTCGCCATAAGTGACAGTGGAATATAAAAATGGCTCAAGGATAAAATTGGAGGTTACACAATTTTTTCTCTAATCTTGTACCTTCCAGAAATTTTTAATTGGGGACTCCATCATCCACACCCAGCAGAACCACAAGATATTGTGAGATGAGTAAATTATATATAGAGGATGCCATGAAGGGGAATATAATACAACAGTTATTTTTATATGACTGTCAATATTGTTTAAGTGAAATAAAAATATTTCTCATGACATTTTATCTGACATTCTGCTCTCTTATAGCTTAGAATTCAATATGACTTCTCCCCATTACCCTGCCATATACATATACATTTCTGATCTTTTTTATACAGCAATTTCTATAGCTGCAGGTGCATGGAACAGCAATCTGAAAAATGTTATGACCAGACATGAATGCATCTTACATGTTACTTTTGCTCGTAGAAAATACTTATTAGAAAATGAATAGGGCAAATCATGTGGAAATAAAACAGTAATGTATTGTAGTGTAAATAATCACAATGACTGGTTTCCGAAAGGAAGATTTTCCATCTCTAAAATGTTAGTTAGTCTGATTTGCATTTTTGACATAAGGTGTCCATATATAAAGCTGTGATTCTTAATCTTGGCAACTTTAAGGTGTGTAAACTTTGACACCTGGCTGGGGAATTCTCAGAGTTCAAGTCCACAAATCTTAAAATTGCTAAAGCTGAGAAACACTGGTGTAGAGTATTAAAAATACAAAGACTTAAGAAGTCATGTCTGATGATAGCAATTACAATTCAGTTTTTAAAAAACCATGTAAGGCAGTATTATATATGTATACAATACTGCCATGATCCTGGTCCTTTGGAACATCTTTCCCACTGAGGTAAGATTGGCTCCCACCCTCCTGACCTTCCGCAAGAGCCTCTGCCAGTTGGCCTGGGATGCCGGGGGGGGGGAGTACCATGTTGGAGATGGTTGACAGACTAATAGATCCCACCTCACCCCCTGCACATCTTGCTTCCCTCCCATTTTTAATCATAATTTTGTAGTCTTTAAATCATAATTTTGTAGTCCTATGGCTATGATTGCATCTCTTTTAATGTTGTAATCTGCCCAGAATTGCCTTGTGGTGAGATGGGCCACAAATAAATTTAATAATACAGTATATATTTTAGGCTGAGGAAAATATAACCTTCAAAAATAATTCTATGGAAAACAGTAGAATGACTGAATTCATAGAACTGTACAGTCAAAACCAAATGCCAGGAGTAAATGCCAGTCATCAATGGTAGCGCTCTAAAACAACATGAATGTACAGTTTTGAAATTCTCTGACAAGTTAAGTTGAACACTTTGTTTTAATATTTCAAACAAGTGTATTTTGTGTATTTGATGGTTGTTTTTAAAATCATTTTGATACATCTGCTTCTGTTAAGAAAATATTTATTCTAGTTCCGAAATTAATTAGTATACAGGAAAAGAATCAGTGTCATTTATAATAAAATTCTCCCAGTTCCTCTTTCCAGTAGTTGGCTTACATACATTTCTTTTCTTTTTTGGTGGGCTGGTTAAAAATGGTTGTTTATTAAAGATATTGAGACTCATTTTTTTAGAAAGGAAGATTAGGGTTATTGAAAATAATGAAGGGCATGCTTAGGTTTATGAACTTCTCAATCAAAACAAGTTTAAACTGTCTACAACAACTTTTCTCAACCTAATGTCCTTCAATTTTGTCACAATTGTGGCAGTTGTAATACAAGCTATCTGAGGTGCACAGGCTGTGAAAGGCTGTCTTACAGGCTCATTACAAAACAATTAAAACACGCTGAATTCTCCTTATGCAACAAGATAATATGATAAATTTTCAACAGTATACAGTATATGCACATTTTCACACAGTTAACAGAATACCTCTTTTTATCCACTATTCCATGTATTTCTACAATATTACTGTTTCTCACATAAATACTAATTTTTGTATATATATGATCTATTGCAGCTCTTATTTTGCTGCTGAATCCAAAGACCTCTGGAAGGCAAAATGTGATGAGAATTGGAGGCATGATTAGTCCAAACTCACATTTCCTTTCTCAGATAATCTTAGATTGTAGAAAGAGGAGTGAGTATCTTCTTAGCCCTTCTACTCTGACTGCAGATGATGTGTTGAACACATTCTCATAGTGACAAACATGGGATGGGATATATCACCCCCACCCCCGTATCACCTGTCTCTTATTAAGTAAGTTTATGTCTGAGAGAAAAATAAATGATGATGGCATATTTATGTCAAACAGTAAGATATTTAAACAATGTAATTCATTTATAGAATTCAGTTTGGTATGGTGCAACTATCCATACAGTACTTGCATTAAAAATATGTGTAACATATAGTAGAAAGAATGCTGTTCATAAACCACCCAATATCTAATAAAATACCAAGTGATTTATATTTATATTGAGGCTCATTATATTTACATGTTTAACATTTAAAGAAATTTTCCAGCTAGATTAACTTTACAAAGTCCTCAATTAAAATATATGAGAATAAGGGCAGTGGTGGGATTCAGCCAGTTCGCACCACTTCGGGAGAACCGGTCGTTAACTTTCTGAGCAGTTTGGCAAACTGGTTGTTGGAAGAAATCATTAGGGCAGAGAACCGGTTGTTAAAATATTTGAATCCCACCACTGAATAAGGGTATGAAATTAAGGCAGTCATTGCTAAACAAACCAAATCAAACTAAAAGCCAAGGGTTCCATTAAGAAAAATCTAAACTAAAAATAATCTAAACCCTTGCGCTTAAAGTTTTTAATTATTTATGCTTAGTTTGTAAATGTGAAAGAAACATATCTAACCAACATTTCCTTACTGAAAATAGGACAATTAAAAGAGACAAAGTTCCCAAATAAGAATATATAAACATATACTTTAGCTAAATTTAATTTGGGTCATCAATGTTCAAATAGAATAATAAATTGTGTCCTACCTATGGTGGTAATAACAGTCCCCGCAAAGAAGAAGGAACTTCCCAAATCCCAGTGACTGACTTGATTTGGCATATTTCCTTTAGGATTGACTCCTGCATTTATTGCTGCCACAACTTGCTGAAAATTTAAAGACATTTTCTCAGTATTTATGAAATATAAACAAGGATATTAGAACACACTATTCCATATGCTTGTGAAAGTAATCTATCTGTCTGATTTTTAAAAAAAATAGCCAAAAAAAGGGCGGAACATTTTACAGCACATTGAAACTGCTTCAGTTCCAAGAGTCTGTGATCTGAGTCTGAAATATAATTAAGTTAAAATTATTGAACTCACTGAGAGATAGCAACTGTTCATGGCTAAGGGTAGCCTTGAATTGAATCTCCTGAGTATTAGTCTTTTATTTTAAGCAATTTAGCACATTGGCTTTTCAATATTGTGTAAGCTTTGGAAAAAATATAAGTAGAATATAAAGATAGGTATATTAATATTTTGAATCAGCAATCATTTTAGGATTAGTAACTCTTAGTAACCTGATCATGAAATCATGGATTAAAAATTAAAATCCTGACATCAAGGGTTTCAATCCTGAAATAGGCAATAAAATGAATAAGCAACTGTACGCTAAATTTTATTCATGCCCTGAATTCATGAATAATCATGAATAAGATAACACATTGGCTATAATATAACTTGTAGAAAAGTAAATAAGAAATAAGAAAAGTAAATAAGAAACAGAAACTTGTTTTATGAATCAGAAAATCACTTCCCTACTCAAATTATGAATGTTCAGAGAAAGGTTAATAATTGTAACCATCAGCATAGATGCTGAAGGATTCTATCCCAATAAAAATACTTTATTCCATTTAATAAGCATTCCATTCATTCCCAATAAAATGCTTTATTCCATTTAATAAGCTTTAATAAGCATTGCATTCAATGCAGTTGCAAAGTATTCTAAAAATAACTTTGACTGACCTACTAATATACATGGTGATACCTACACATTCTGAATAATAGATAATAAAGTAGTATGATACTAGCCCCTAATAATTAAAAAATATATTTGAGGACTTATTTTGCTACTGTCAAAATAGTGTTTCTCAACTTTGTTGACTTTAAGATGTGTTGACTTCAACTCCTAGATTTCCTCAGTCAGCATGCTAGGGAATTCTGGGGCTAAAATCCACACATTTTAAAGTTGCTAAGGTTGAAAAACACTGTGTTAAAAGAATTAAAACTGCAATCCTTAGCATGTTTACTGAGAAGTTCTTTAAAAGAATAAGCTTTAATTCTGGGCTAAGCATTTACAATATTGTTCCAGTGGAAGGGTAGTGTGGGAAAACACAGACAGCAATGGCTTTTACTGTTTTATTATCATATAAGTACTGGCGTTTTCTGCTGATGCAAATCTTTCCTTTGTAAGCAGATATTTTGCAATCTAAAAGTTTTACCTGTTATTTTAATGAATCAGTATTTCCATCTTAGTAAATGCCCGTTTTTATGTTACATCCCACAGACCTGGTTTTAGCATATTTCAAAGTAAGTGCACACTAAAATATGATCATGTATTCGTGTTCCTTCTAGAAGATGGCAATGACAAACAATCTTTATACTGTTGCAAATAAAATCTATGAATATATCCATATCATCACCTGGAGTCAGGCTCAATCTGAGAAAGTCTCAATGATTTTTCATCCTAAAATACTAGAATCATACACTGGAAAAGAAGCCACTGTTTAGTTATATCTATTCACTTCAGTTGAAATGCTTAACTTCTGAGCACAGACCATATGCACTCAAAGTTTTGTATAGCCTCACTAGTATTTCTCAACCGTGGCAACTTGAAAATGTGTGGACTTATTTATTTATTTTATTTATTTATTTATTTGTCAAGCATATATAAGATAACCGGTAAAAGTATAAACAAAATTTGAATACATGAAAAGAGTAAGAGTAAAAAGGAATATTAGGACAGGGACGGTAGGCATGCTGGTGCACTTATGCACGCTCCTTACAGACCACTTAGGAATGGGGTGAGGTCAACAGTAGACAGTTTAAGGTTAAAGTTTTGGGGGTTTGGGGAAGAAACTACAGTGTCAGGTAGTGCATTCCAGGCATTGACCATTCTGTTACTGAAGTCATATTTTCTGCAATCGAGTTTGGAGTGGTTTACCTTGAGTTTGTATCTATTATTTGCTCGTGTATTGTTGTGGTTGAAGCTGAAGTAGTCATTGACAGGTAGGACATTGTGGCAGATAATTTTATGTACTACATTTAGGTCAGACCAAAGTCGGCATAGTTCTACATTGTCTAAGCCCAAAATTTGAAGTCTGATGTCATAAGGTATTTTATTGCAAGTAGAGGAATGGAGGACTCTTCTCATAAAATATCTTTGGACTCTCTCAATTGTATTTATGTCTAATATGCAGTGTGGGTTCCAGACAGGTGAGCTATATTCGAGAATTGGTCTAGCAAATGTTTTGTATGCTCTAGTTAGTAGTACAATATTATCAGAGAAGAAGCTACGTAAGATCAGGTTAACAACTCTTAATGCCTTTTTGGCAATGTTGTTACAGTGGGCTTTCGCATTTAGATCTTTAGAAATGAGTACTCCAAGGTCCTTTACAGAGTGAGGGTTATCTACAAGGTCATGTCCATCTAATTTGTATTTTATGTTTTGATTTTATTTATTTTTTTGCCAATGTGCAAGACAGAGCATTTGTTGAGATTTGAGATTTGAAGTTACCACTTGTTAGACCAATCTGACACATAGTCAAGGTCTTTTTGAAGGGTTGTTGCATTGTCGGTGGTGTTGAATAGTTTAACATCGTCAGTGAAGAGAACACAGTTGCTTTTAATATGATTGCAAAGGTCATTTATCTAAAGTATGAAGAGTGTTGGACCTAAAACACTGCCTTGAGGAACACCACTTTTAACAGGTACAGGATTTGATAGAGTGCTTCCTATTTTGACCACTTGTTGTCTGTTTGACAGGAAGGCAGCTATCCATTCATGTAGAAGTCCAGAAATGCCATAGGATTTTAGTTTTAGAAGTAATTTGTCGTGTACCACTGAATCAAAAGCTTTACAGAAGTCTATGTAAATTGCGTCTATTGCTTTGCCCTGATCAAGATGTGTAGTCCATATGTTTTTGCAATGTAGTAGTTATAGATTATATGATAGTTTTTTTCTGAAACCAAATTGTTTGGTTTTGACTTCAACTCATGCGGGCTGGGAATTCTAGGAGTTAAACTCCATACATTTTCAAGCTACTGAGGTTGAGAAATACAGCTCTGTAGTCTGCCCAAATGACATTACTAAAATTCAGGAGCATATGTAGTAGTGTCTTTCAAAAAAGTGACTGTCTTGGCATTGTAGTCATCTGTGTATAGGATAACCGTGCATCTTCCTTTATCAGCTGACAAGTTCACACAGAAAGATGTTAAAGAAAGCAGTCTGTCTTTTCTAGACTGTGCAGTGCACATTAAAGAGAAAAGCCTTAACATTGAAGTTTACAGAAAACTCTCATACACAAATCAGTATTTACATTTTGATTCTCACCACTCACCAAAGCACAAAATGGGAGTGATCAGAACCCTAAATCACTGGACTGAAAGTTTGCCTACCAATAAAGAAGGGGGGTAACATGTCAAGGAATCCCTCAGGATTTGTGGTTATCCTAATTGGACCTTCATCAAATCCAGAAAAAGATCCAGCAGGAGCTCCTCCATTACAGACAAAGAAAAGAACAACAAATTTGGCAACATTGTTATCCCAAAGAGCCGCTGATTCAGTTCTACAGAGGAATTATTGAGTCTGTCATCTGCACCTCCATAACTGTCTGGTTTGGCTCTGCAACCAAACAAGACAAATACAGATTTCAACAGATAATTAGAACTGCAGAAAAAACAATTGCTACCAATCTGCCTTCCATCGAGAATCTGTATACTGCATGAGTCAAAAAGAGGGCTGTGAAAATATCTACAGACCCCTCACATCCTGGACATAAATTGTTTCAACTTCTACCCTCAAAAAGATGCTATAGGGCACTGCACACCAAAACAACTAGACACAAGGACAGTTTTTTCCCGAATGCCATCACTCTGCTTAACAACTAATTCCCACAATATTGTCAAATAATTTACTAAGACTGTATTACTATTATTCTTCTCTTCCTTACTAGTCTCTATCTCTTCCCACTTATTACTATAACCATGTTGTTTGTAACTTTCAATTACATTGTTTTTATTTGTTTCCTAGTACGATTTGATAGCTTATTAGTAACCTTGAATATCACTGTGTTGTATCTTTTTATTTTATCTTTTTAGGAGCATATACACCCAAGACAAATTCCTTGTGTGTCCAATCACACTTGGCCAATAAAGAATTCTATTCTATTCTATTCTATTCTATTCTATTCTATTCTATTCTATTCTATTCCAAACGTTGCAGGGATATTTGAAAAGCTCAGGAGAATTTTCAACCAAGACAACATGTATACTTTAAATCCAAGAATACACTAAGACATAAGCTTGTCCACCCCAAGGATAAAACATACAGACAAAAAACTGAGCAATGTGATATGTGCAATACAATGCAGTGAGACATGTGCAGATCTGCACATTGTTGAAACTAAACAACCACTTCACAAGAGCAGGGCACAACATAGAAGATCAAAGCCATCAGGACAAGATTCAGCTGTCCGTCTGTACTTGCAAGACAATGGTCATTCTTTTGAAGACAGCAAAGTCCACATTTTGGTTTGAAAGAGGAGTAAAAGAGGCCATTTGTGTTAACATTGAGCAGCCCTCTCTCAACAGAGGTAGAGGTATAATGCACCACCTATCTCCAGTCTACAACTTGCAATGGTGCCAAGAAGATTCCACAACCAATTGCACCCTGAGGGCAAAGATAAACCCTGCAAGTGGCCACAAGAGCTCTCACAGAGAGTGCTAATGGACCAGATGACTGCAAATAAATACAACCCTTCCATCCCCCCACTATCCAGTCTCAACTGTTAGTATCTATCCTCCATCCCTCCCCCCCCATCACAACTGTTCTTCTTCCTCAAGGAAAAAAAACAGTCTAGTTGCCTTTTGAAAAAAGCACTTTTG